CTCTCTCTCTCTCTCTCTCTCTCTCTCCATCACACAAAGAACTTACAAAGGAACTCTTTGCCCATCACATTTCAAAACCCAACAACAAAAAACTCATTTTTCCCCCATCAAGACCCAATTTTTATTTCAAAACAACACAAACCCACAAAAACCCTTAACCACACAAACACACACACAATGGTCTCACAAGACTCACCACCAAACTCCAGCAACATCATGCACCAATTCATCATCCCAAACTCCATACCCGACCAAACCCACTTCCCACACGACCCGTTCGACCCGTACCCGGCCGCGCCCCACCCGATTCCCAACACTGCCCTTTACCCCCACCACGCGCCGCCGGACATGATCCACGAGAGGCGCCTGATGGACCTTCTCGGCACGCCAAATCCGGCCCAAAGGCTCTCCCTCTCGTTGGGCTCCGGCCCATGCAGCCAGATCAGGCCATTCGACCCGGCCCATTTGTACATTAATCCCGGACCGGACCGCATAACGATGGCCGCCGATTATTCTTTCCCGGGAAATAACAATGCGTTTGCCACCACATTAACTTCTTTCAGCAATTATCATCACCATCCGTGCTCGGCATCATCCAACGGCCAGGAATCGTTCGCCGGGAGCTCGAGGTATTTGAAGTCGGCCCAGTCGCTCCTTATGGAGATGGTGAGTGTTGCCGGGAAAGATATCGAGGATAGCAATCGGAGGTACGTGGATAAGCTGTCCCGGGCCGGACGGAAAGGGTTTTACGGGCTCCGGCCCGACTTCAAACCCGAGTTTTCGGACAGCGAGCTCTGTATTTGCTTAGTCAAGCTGATTGCGCTGCTGGAGGAGGTAACTGGAATTATATCATTTTCTTGTGTGGAGGAAAATAATAATAATAATATAATTAATAATTTTACTATTTGATATAATTTTTTGCTTTAGCCAAAAAATTCGATTTAAATTGGTTATAATTTTTTCTTCAAAATATAAGGAAAAAGTGTAAAAAAAAAAAAAATTAAAAAATTGAGATAGATTTGAGAGTCCGAATAGATATAAGTTAAATATATAATAGTTAAAATTGGTGATGATAATAATTAAAGGAGATGCTACGGTCCCGTTACGAAACTATTCTTAGATCAACTATCCCGACGATTATATGATGATCTAACAGTTACAAATCCCGATGAAATAGTTTCGTAACGGGACAGTAGCATTTCACAATAATAATAATATTGATGATACTAACTTTTGTTAAATATATAACCAATTGTTATTTTTAAATATATTATTATTTTTTTATATTCAAATTGTGATATTTAGATAGGTAAAATACTAAAATTAGTGATATATTTTATTTTATTTCAATTTCAATGACATAAATGTTGCAATAAAAAAAAACCCTCCAAAATGTAATTTAACTTTTGATTACATTTACTTATTTATTAATTTTTGGATTTTTTTTTTTAGGTGGAGAGAAGATATGAGGAGTATTATCATCACATGGAGGATCTGGTGACGTCATTCGAGATGGTAGCGGGTTTAGGGTCGGGCAGCTCTTACACGGCGCTGGCCCTACAGGCCATGTCCAAGCACTTTTGGACCCTCAAGAGCGCCATCGTGGCCCAAATTCGGGTTGCGAGATTGAAGATAGAGAAGGATGGGCCCAAAATCAGCTCCAGGTTGTCTGGGCTGAGCCTGTTGGACCAAGAGGGCCGCCAGAATCGGGTCACACTCCAGCAGATTGGGCTTCTGCATAGCTCGCGGCAGGCCTGGAAGCCCATAAGGGGACTCCCCGACACCTCGGTCACCATTCTTCGGGCTTGGCTTTTCGAGCATTTTCTTCATCCGTACGGATTTTTTTTAATTCCTTCAAAAATAATTAATTTATACTTTGGCAAAAAAAATAAAAAATTATATTCAGTGTTTTTGTTAATAATGTATTTTTTTGTTTTTTTTTTAAATATTTTCGTTACAGTTATCCTAACGACTCTGAAAAGCTCATGCTATCAACACAGACTGGCTTATCAAAGAATCAGGTAAAAAAATATGTGATTAACTCCAAATATTTTTGTTTTAGCCTAATTATGATAAAAAAAATTAGTTAACTGATCTTCGTTGTGTGAGTCGACCTAATCGTTAGACGGGTCGAACAGTTATAACATTCTAACAAAAATGTCTACTTAATTGTTCTTTACTGTTGGATTGAATATTCTGATTGATTATGCACGCATGGTGTTGTGGGATTGAATATTCTAATTTATTTCAGGTTTCAAATTGGTTTATTAATGCTCGAGTTCGACTGTGGAAGCCGATGATCGAGGAGATGTACAAAGAGGAATTTGCAGAGTCGTCGACCGAGTCGGACCAGCTGCCGACGAGCACGGAGGGAGTCGGGGATTCTGCTGAGGACTTCATTTGAAAATATTAATTTGGTGCTTATGAACCATTAAAAAAAATAAATTTTTTTAGCACAAATTATATGTTCTTGTTTTGCAACTGATGATTTGGGCCATACTGTTATGCTATGGTGTAAGCATCAAATGAAATCTGTCTAATTTTCATTTTATAAATGAAATCTTATATCATTGGGATTGAACTATATATTACTATATAACTATGGTATTTTAAAGAAAATATTTATTCTATCAAATATCATGAATTTTATTTATAATGAGATAATAAAAGTCTATATCAATTTGTTTATGCCTTCTTTATTCATTCATCTATGTATTTTTTGTAATAACACATAGTTGATTTAAAATTCCAGTTAATTTGCCTTTAATTTCCACTTTCAAGAATATATTTGTCTATACCTCGTTTACTAGCATTGATAGGATATGATAAGGTTGGTTAACCAATCTTATCCCTTGTTTACTAAATATGTTGGGATTCGAATTTTTATTACGTGGCACTGAGTTGCTGCCCGCGTGGCGCACATCTCCCGGATAATTCTATCCGGCCAAAAGGGTGTGATATTTTTATCCTTGCTGTAAAATGACTCTTGTGTCCATAAAAGTACCCGAAAAATGACATGTTTACCCTCAATGGTCCATATATTTACAACTTTTTGATAATGCCATTTTCCTCGACATTCTTCAATCCCCGCGACTTGTGAGAGCTTCCAACCCTAGTTCATCAACATTCTCGCCATTTTTCAATCCCCACGACCTGTTCTGCGTAATTTTTTATTTATTTATTTTTGTTATTTCTCTGTGCTCTTGTTCTATTTTGTTGCATTCAATCCTCAATTTCTTACGAATCCATTGGTTAAATTCATTTATTTGGTCTAATTTTGTATTGACAATGTGTTCCACAGAGGTCGCCGCCTCAAGCATTCTCCGTCGGACATTTCACGGTTTTGATTTCTGGTAGAGCTCAAATGCGTGGCCTCCAATTTGTGTAGCCGCCGTCGGTGCCCTCGAACAACCGACAAAATTCGTCAAATCGACAAAGTGCAACCGAAATTTTTTAGGGCTACCATATCCGTCGAACTCGACCCAACAATATGCAGCTCGTGGGATTGATGTCGGATTAGGTCAGGGCTCGAATCGTCGATTCATCCTTACGCCTCCCTCCCGGCTACAATCTTTCTCGTGTCATCGCTATAGGATGGTACAATTTGGGCTGAAATTTCATCAAATAAACTGTAATTTTGTAGAAGGGGTAACAGTACCATTTCGGATGTGTGTATCTGAGAAGAGAAGGGTACAATTGACATTACAATTAAAACCAGATAATATTATCCAGGTTTGTAAATATTAGCATTACAATGTAAACATGATACATATGCTGAGGTGGAAAGTTGTGGGGATTAATTTGTCTAATCCCATCAATCTTAGTAAAGGAGGCCATATTTTGTAGTCATGTCGAGTCGTATTTGTGTTTCGTGTCGTGTCAGACATTGTCACTGCAACTCCAAAAACCCCTCGAATTAAAGCAAACAAATCCTTAATAAAATCAAATTGAAATTATATCAAGTTGTGGCTAATATCACTATATACGGCCACACGTTTTACTTTCATGATTATACGATGCATAGAACAAAGTGAACCATGAAAAGGACAATACTATTGCCTAATTTTGTCTAAGCAACTTTACCGTTATTAATGGATGGCCACATGCTTTCTTCCATGTGTTTAATAATCATCCCATGCAGAATATGAAAATAGATTCTTCATAAGAATAGAACCAATTTTTTTTTT